AAGCATGATAATCTTTGTTGCCTTGTTTGTGGTGCATGGTGATTTGCGTTTATCGACGTTTCAAAATTTTGTTAACAGTTTGCTATATCAGACAAGATTTGTATAGTCACCATTCTATTTTTTGTGTTTGTGCGGTCGATCGCACACAACTGCAATCATTGTCTAGTTCTGTCCCAAAAATGCAAAATTCATGACTAATGGCTTTAACAGGACTAGTTTGAATTTGGTATGTTATTCATTTTTTTACAAACATCGGAGCAACTGTAACAGTAGCGTAGTGACCACTCTCTTAGAACCGTTGAAAGTAATAATTTGAGTGAATTTAAAGCTTCAATAATTAGTGACATGGGAGGAGCATACATATAATTAGAGGGATGGGAGAGAGAGATATTATAGAAAAATGGAAAGAGGATCCCCAATTTGTACAAACAGCTTTTGTAACTTCCGATGAGCAAATCATTCGTCTCGGGACGTACACAGATTTATCTTCCGACATCACTATCTTCTAAAGTCAAAAAAAGTTTTTGTCTTGTCTCTTAATCATTTTCTTCTTCTACGATCGATCTTTCGATCCATCCAAACCCCTTCTTCTATCTCAACATTATTTCATTCTACTTTTGCTACTCATATGGTTTCAATTTCACAACTCAAACGAAATCTCACAAAAAAAAGAAGGTTTAAACGAATACATAAGGGATTTGTTCCAAAAAAACAAAATACATAAGGGAATGTTTCACGCTTTCACTGTTATTATTAAACAAAAGGTTAAAAAGCCGGCATAGTTAAGTGTGAGAGCTTTTTTGGTCTTGTAGTGCTCAAATTAAACAAGAGAATTGTCTTATCATGATTGTCTTTATCAACCCCACCTCCCATGCTAAAATACATATCAAAAATGTAACCATCATGGAAAATATTGCCGACCAACACCAATTATAGCTATAAACTGTATAATATATAATATGGTTCTATCTCAAACGATGATTACTTCATTTTTTTTTAAAACACGTATGATATTATTCCCTAATTAATAATGATTGATGCAATCTAGATTTTGTAGAAAGCTAGTAGTAAGTGTGATTATAGTCGATGGACTGATTTGGCTAGTGTTACGACGCAGAGACAAGAAGACCCGGAATGATGAAGGAACACACCGATTCGAGCACAAGAAGTGTCCATGAGATGTGAAACAAAACAAGTGACCAACACTTCAAGTTTCGATAATGGAAGAGAAGGTTTTGTATATATTTTTTTTTTTTTGGGTGGGGGCAAATTAAGAGGACAAAGAGGAGACAAGGAGGTTAGTGGGTCCCACTCTTTGATGATTGGGTAGGAAACAACTTGTGGGCCACCGCTTGTCTCTTTGTCCCTTCCCCCGTGAATCTCCCTCATTGGTTGCTTAGTCTACCCAAAAACTCCTGTGGGGTCCCCCTTATTACCACTTTCTCACACACTCCACAAAACTCTCCTATAAACTTGTTTTGGTATAAAGCAATAACTAATTTTTACTCTTTTATAGATCCCATTTGGTTCACGTCCTATTCAAAAGAGAAGACAGAAGACAAAACTCTACAAACGCATCAACACAAAGTCACATAAATGGGTCTTTGGCAAAACTGAAAGCTTTAGATGACACCAAACATGTCCCATATATAGGCTTAATCTGAAATTTTACCCCCCAAAAGACTATAGTTCTACTACATTTCATGTCATGATACCGAAATGCCAAAAGGGGACGCTACATACCGATGATGGACTAGGAAAATGGTTATGTACATAATTGGACTGTGCAACCTTTTAGCTAGTCACCTAGAAGACAAAGTGGCTGTCTCATGCTAAGCTCAGCTTTCAGCGCTGGAAACTTCTCCAGGTCATGCGAATCTCCTAGAACTTTCTGTGGAAACATAGCATCAAAGGGCAAAAGTATGAATCCAGAGACCATATATATGTTCTTTATTTGACTATAATATCAGGAGAATGAATGGTTTACCAAAGCAGCGATGTGGGCTTCCTGCAACATATTCCCGTCTATTTCTAGCCTAGCTACCGGGAACTCTGGTAAATGCCCAGACTGTTTCTTCCCAAGCAAATCCCCAGGTCCACGTAGAAGAAGGTCTATGTTCGCCAAGTAAAACCCATCTGATGATTTCCCCAACATATTCAACCGTTTTAGGCTATTGGCAGTTGTTCCAACTAATAAGCATTTCGATTTCCTGGTTCCACGCCCAACACGTCCTCGGAGTTGGTGTAACTGTGCTATTCCAAATCTTTCGGCGTTCATGACAACCATCATTGAAGCTTCTGGAACATCAACACCTATCTCTATCACCTGTGTGGAGAGGAGTATCTGTGTCTCTCCGCTTCTGAATTTGTTTAGAGCCTCTTCTTTGTCGTCACTCTTCATCCTTCCGTGTAATAGACCGCAGCTGTACTTTGGGAATTTTTTGGAGATAACTTCAAGCTCAGCAGAGGCAGCACGGAGCTGTGGCAGTTGCTCTGATTGTTCAATAACAGGATATACAAGGTATACTCTTCCTCCAGACTTCAGTTCATCCAGCATCATCTGTCAATTGAAAGATGATAGGTTTAAATATTGTTCTATCTACTGTCGAAACTTTAAAAATATCAAAAGTAAAAAGTCTTGGATGTTTCTTTCTACGTCGGATATTTAGTTAGTGTCAGGGGCCTTACTGAGTAGACTTCCCCGAAGCCAGTCTCACTTCCTTCAAATATGTGCGTCTGAACCGGTGTTCTTCCAAGTGGCATACCGATAATCTGAAGAAACAAAGAATTGCAGTCTCTAACAATGCTTAAGGTCGTTCAACACATGAAACAGGTTTCTACATGATGAACTAAAGTGAAAACGTTTATACATACTTGCGTCAAAGAAATATCTCCGTATAAAGCTAAGGCTAGTGATCTCGGTATAGGGGTGGCTGACATGGCAAGAACATGAGGAGCCATACTGAGATCAGCTTTGGAAGAAGTATCATCAGAGTCAGTTGAGCCAGTTTTCGATATCAAAGATGTCCCATATAACTGCAGCAGTCACACAACAATAAACTTCAGTTTACGAATGTTTTGATAAAGAAGAATGAAAATTAAAGACACAAGTTCATTTCAGGTCACCGATTAGATGATCACTATGGATCATTAAACCAATTATCTGACTGAATAACAATATTCTACGACCCTGACCTTGCTGTTAAATTTTCCTCTCTGGATTACACCAAACCGTTGCTGCTCGTCAACCACGGCGATACGTAATGCAGAGTATTCTATTTTTTCAGCTATCAGACTGTGAGTTCCAATAATAATCGATATAGCCCCGCTTTGAAGATCCTGTCATCAATTGTCAGCTATAAGCAAAATAAGCTTAATGTGTAATTTAAAACAACATATTAGCTGCGTGACTTGCCTGACGAATCATTCGTGACTGCTTTGTCGGGGTTGAACCTGTGAGCAACCCAATGGTTGGCTTGGATGGTACCCCCTCCATCTTCTCCAACAGATCACGCAACTGTTCATGGTGTTGGATTGCGAGTAATTCTGTGGGGGCCATGAAAGCTGCCTACATTTGGGAAAAGGTAACTCAAAAAACAAATTCAACTAGATGTATGTAAGAGGATTGATTGAGAAATTAGTTAACTAGAGAGATCTTATTAGTTAACCTGGTAACCAGATCCTATGACCTCCATGCACGCCAAGAAAGCGACCACTGTTTTGCCACATCCAACATCACCCTAAAAGGGAAACTCAACTATTAAGAAACTTTTATTCGTTAAAAATAAACAAGTTTGCAAACACTTTAAAATATGATTATAGTCTTGTAGATTGGCTAAAAGTCTACGACGAAAGAACTCAGCTATAAACGAGGAAAAAAAATTCCAGCCAGCTCAGGTTACAAACTACCTGCAAAAGCCGATTCATTGGAACCGGACGCTTTAGATCCCATATTATTTCTGAAACAGCACTTAGCTGGCTTGGAGTAAGGGAATATGGTAGAGCCTTTAGAAAACTCTTGGTGAGAGTGGACCATTCTTCTATGTAGACGGAATTGAGCACCGGCTTTTTGAACTTTTCCAGCAATACATCTTTCTCTATTTTTGTTCCAAGACCTTGAAGCATTTGGTACAAACGTGCCAACTGTATGAAAACAAAATTCAATGAACGAATATTTACTCACAAAGTATGATTAAGAATGTTGCTTCTGAGAAGACAATTATTCTTAAAAAGCTAGCTACCTGTAGGTAAAAGAACTCGTCAAATATAAGCCTTTTGCGAGCTAAATCAGCCTCATCTAAATTCTTGGGCTCGTGAATACCAACATAGGCCTACATTTACAGCGAGAAAAAAAAGTGCAAATGAAAAGTACGATTTTGTTGTGGATTATAGAAGAAATTAATCAAAGAGCACGCTTCAACAGAGAAACAAGACTTACATCACGAAGAGATGGTAGGCCAAAGACTGTAGTGATTTCCTTAGGAAGTGGATCCATATTGGCAGGGAGAACCTGCAGAGCCCTAAGAGACAAAAAAGTGGGTGAGCTGTTATAAACAAGATCGAAATATGTAACGCTTAGTTCTGGGAAGTTCAGGTATTTTATAATATGTGAAGTAATTATACTCATGCTAGTCTTTAAACAGAAAATGAACTCAATCATGTTCAAGGTGAGGCTTTTACTCAAAATATAAACGATTCCCTGATATGGCATTTCAAAACTGTTGTTTCAACTACTTTTCGGACTGAAAAAAAATGTAATTTATTACCAACCACCACTGAAGATTATGGAATAGAAAAGAGAAACAAAACCTGGAGATGATATCGCTAAGGAACTTTGGTTTCAACTCTCCTTTTGAAGGGTAAATAGGATATGGTCTCCCCTGGACTTGAAGAGACGACTCCTCTTCATCTTTGAGTACATCAATATTGTATTCCCTCATTTCAAAATGATTTCCCGGATGCATCGCCTTCACCTAGATTTAGAAGAGATTATCAACATATATTGAATCAGCACAGTTGCCAAAAATCTCCATCCACGTAAATCTGATTCTTTAGTGGCCTTTAATCGTGCCAAAACAAGTCCAAGCTTCAAAAGTTGACCCCAAGAATAGAGCTAAAGACTTACGAGGCAGTCTGGCAAACAAGTATACTACCTAAGCAAGAGATAACAAATACATGCAAAGACAAGTTTAGGGGAACCAAAAGACTAACCTTCCCGCTAACGCATACAAGGTCCCCGGGTCTATGCTTCTCTTGAATTTTATTAAGAAATGGTTGCCAGGCAAAGCGAGCACCACGGAAAAATTTCTTCAGATGCAAAAAAAATCTTTTTCCTCCTTTATCATCAGCATTATAACTCAGATTCTCTGAAGTTCTGTCTCTGCCTGAGACTTCACAGCTGACAATAACCTCAAGAAATGAAAATGAAGAGCTAGCTCTAACTCCCCTGCACATTGAATTGCACAGAGTTCAATTTGAATTCCAAACCGTGTGGATGCAGCTTAACACATAAGGCATAACCGCATAAGCAATACATGAAGGTTAGAGCATAATGGTCGAAGAATCATCAACAGACAAACAATGGTAATAAAGATCTTTTTGAGTATGTTTGAGATGAACTATAGACTTAAAAACTTAAAATGGGACAAACAAATACTCACTTGGAAGACACGACTTTCCCAACAAAGATCAAGTACTGTCCATCCTCGATATCAACATGTGCATTCTGCAAATCCACATAGGTTCGAGGAAAATGATGCAATAGTTTCCTAATCTGCATTGAAAGACAGTTTGAAAAATAAGTTTAAGCCTATCAACCAAGAAGAAGTTTTTGTTTCCATGTACTTGAATGCCTACCGTGTGAAAGCCACAACTGTCAAGCTGATTACTCTGCCTCTTACTTAACCCAGGCATAGAATCTATAGAACAACTAAGGAAACGCTGAGCGGCAAAATCAACTTCAGATGTTGTAGTTTGAACCGTAAAAGAAGAACCATCTGAAATTTCTTCTCTGAGATTGGAAGAATCAACATTCTGAAGATCTGGACAGAAGGAAGAAGATAATGTTCCGGAAATATTATCGGGGTCAAGCCATCCTACATGTAAGGGAGTGGGAAAGAAACTGTTGTCAGTTGGCGTTTTAAGAATGCTCCTTGATTCCTCGGAAGATTTAGTCTTGCTGTACAATTCCACCGGACGAGAATCACCAAGAATGATCGAAGGGAATCTCTTACACGCTAATACAAGATCTTCCTTAACTTTCTCATCATCAGCCGATTTCTTATCAACTAAATCATCAACATTATCATATTCCATCAAAGCTGCAACCTGTTTGTGTAACAGGTTAATATTAAGTTCATGTACCAAAATCT